GATGTATTCATTATATTTCGTTTACGGTATTAAGGGGACTGGTAGTTGACTTTTGCCACAATCAGATGAAAAATGAAATTGATCATGTTGTCCGATTGGCGAGTCGGGAGGGAAAGAGGACTCGATCCCAAAAAGTCATAGTCGACAAGTGTCCATTCGACAAGGGCACATTGTATCCATTAGCAAAATCCCAACTAGCTCTGGACTGGCCCATGTCAACGATACATGTTGCCTACGACAACCATAATGCTCACCTGATCGGACACCTTGGAGAGCAGCGGTGTCAGGCTGGACAGTGCCGAAGTCGAAAATCTGGAAGTGTCAAGAAGTGACGTGTCGGCGATGCCCATGGCGGCCGCCGCCGCAGCGAGCTGAAGAGCTGAAGAGAAACTAATGGCAAACGGAGAGGTTGTTGTTGTGGCCGGTGAGCAGGTATGCCCGGCAGGGGAGATAATGGGAGCCGCAAGACAACCAAGAGGCAGACTTGATGGGACCGAAATGCCAACAGCGTTGTCTGTCATAGAGTTGGCGGCGGTAGTTGTTTCGGCTGTCGCGAATGCGTCAGCGGTGGAGGCATGAGAAACGGGAAAGTGAAGATCTGGAATGGAGGACATATTGGTGGCCAAGGGAGGCTGTGAGAGGGGCCGCTCGAGGAGACGTTGACCTTGAGAGTTATTGTGATGGTGATGTTGGTGTGGATGTGTGTGCGTGTGTGTGGGGGGGTGCATGTGTAGATGTGAATGTGGATGTGGATGTAAATGTGAATGTGGGACATGCTGACGACCGGCTAACTGGACAGAAAGTGCATCTGAGGAATGAGTCGTTTGGCTGCTGCTAAGAGAGGGAAAGACAGACGAGGAAGGCTGCGATGTAGAAATGGTAGAGGTGGTGAGGGAGGCGATGGTCGAAGTCAAGGATGAGGTAAAGCACGAGGCAAAAGAGGACGAAGGAGAAGAGGAAGAAGAGGAGGAAGAAGAGGAGGGTGAAATAGCTGGCAACGGCTCGGAGGCGGTTAGGGCTCGTGTGGAAGTCGCCAGAAACGCAGCTTGTGTTGCCAACGCCTCGAGAGGAAGAGAAACAGAAGAGAACTCTTCGTCAATTCGGCCCAGTCCAGTTGACAAGGAACTGCTTGGCTTGGCCCCCGGAGCTGAATTGGTTGTGCCCGAGGTCGTGGCTGTGCTCGCGACCGTGGCCGTGCTCGCGAGACCGGAAAGTAGAGAGGCTGAAACCAACTCTTCGGACCGCTCTGCCGGCGATTTGGCGAATCCAAGACCCGACTGGCCGAGGCTAAGCCCCAGAGCGGCGACGGCTGGGTGAAGGTGAAGAGGAGGATGCGAGTGCATCTGATGCTGGTGATGATGCGAGGAGACAGACGGTGGATGAGTGTGTATGGCAGGTGTGTGCAATTGGGCCATCAGATGGGGCGACGAGGTTGGGCTAGGCTTGGTGTGATGCGCCGACACAGTGGCAGAAAGCGAGGGCAGCGAGGCGGTGGTCTCATGCAACGGACTTACTGCTAGTAGGTGACTTGGTAACGAGGCGAGCGAGGTTGTCACGAGCTCGGAGTCCTCTTTTTTAGCAAATGAAGAATATGACGAAGACGACGACGAGGAGGATTCTGCGGGCGAGTGAGGAAAAGTAAAAAAATATCTATTTAATCGAAGAAATAAAGAAAAACTGGATTTCGAAGAATACCTTGGTGGTATATTGTGATACGACTCTCCACTTCGATGTGGTCTTACAGGAAGGAAGATTGTCGCATAAGGAAGACTGTTGAATTGTGCGAAGAAATCCTGGGCCCACCGTCATGCGATCCCGATGAAACTGTGTTAAGATTTCGCCTGTACTGTGACAGGCCTCATCAGAGCAAGATTTCATATTTTACGAAATAGAGCAAGAATCTATTAAGCCAAGAAAAAGGGTGGCCGGCTGCAGCCCTAGTCGCTTTTTTCTTCACCTAACTTCGCGATCAGGAATTACGTCCTGAACCGGAAATGCATTCGGTGGCAACTGTTTCCTTACACAAATACATTAGTGTACGATCCTCTAATGTGAATCATGTTTGGGCACCTTTTCTCTTGGTTTAGTATATTTTTGCTCTATTTCGTAAAGTATGGAATCTTGCTCTCATGATGTCTGTTACAATAACAGTACAGACGAAAGCCCAGCAAAGTTGCATCCGGGTGGCAGGACGATGGGCCGATGACTTCTTCGCATAATTCAACAGTCTTCCTTC